ACTAAAATTCACTTTCAGTGAGGCTTCGCTCTATTAGAGTCATTTCCTTCTGATTCCCTTCTCACACACAGAAACAGCAACAGAAACAACCCCAAGAAGTCCAGGGAGTTACACTATATTGCTATAAACAAGAGGATAATTACATCCCTCTGAAGTTTTCACCCAGTTCTCTGACATTACGACTTTCTCCATCCGTGAACAGAGATAAGCCTCTTTAATAGGTAAAATCTGTGAGGAGAAGGAGAGGATGGCCCAAGGGCAGCAGAAGTTGATAGAAAAATGTCACTAGAAGCTGAGCAAGCACATAGGATGGGTGATGAAGCATTGTAAAGATATTTTATATGACTTGTGGGCTTAGGAAAAATCTTCAGTTACTTATTGATATTGCTTCTATAATTATAAATAAACCCTTTGGCTAGACAAAATTCAAGTTTCTCTCACTTGGGAAATCATTCAATCTACTTGGTATGTACACTCCCTCTTTGCAAACAAATGTGGTATGACACCACAGAAGGTTCAGCATTCTCTGATATTTCAAACTTACTTTCCATTTCAAATATACTTTTCATTCCTACATGATCCTAGGTGCACCTTCTCACCTGAAAAATACTCCACATGACCCCAAGGAAGTATGCTCCACTACAGCTCTTGTAACCCTGAAAAAACCACTTCAAAACAGTGACAGGAAGGTCACACTCCCGAGTGATCTCATCCATCCGAGTTTAACCCAATTGTGGCACTCTGCCTGAGATACAGAGGACCCAGTTCTGTTAGGTCTTCCTATTGTGTGTATTTGCTTATTATCCTCAAGAGGCCACTGGTATAATGGGGCGCTCACTCTGCCTTGGCCAGACTCATGCTCTGGCTATAGTGTACAGGAGCAGGAAACACCTAAATGAGCAGGACTACAGACACACAATGAAGTGAGAAAATTAACTTCTAGTTCTCTACAATAAACATGCAGAATCACAATCAAAAGGCCTATGTACTGAATTAGCTGAAGGTCCAGACTCAACACCTGGGTGTGAACCACAGTAAAAATCTGCTGATGACCTTCATGAGAAGATCATCTGATGACATATGCATATGATGACATAAGCACTGCAGTCAACCAAATTGTATCAACCATCCTATGACTCACAGTAAGTTTGTCCGCAACAGATGAGGAGAGCTCAAGAAATCCTGAAAAAAACAGAGCCACAAGAAGAAGAATACCACTCTCTTCCTGAAAGAAAATGCAGAACAGTAGTATCTAGTATTCATAAAGTCAGCCAATAACTTCATCAGGGCAAAGTACATACCAAATCACTTAAAAGATACAACTATAAAACCATATGCTCAGTTTCAGCAGGACTGTACTGGCCATCTCTCTAGCTCTCATCCCATCTCCAGGCTCTCAAAAGACTTTGGGAAGAGTTAACTATGGAGTTTCAACCACAGGTGGCATCAGCCACTACCTCAGGTGCTTTCCTTACAAGCCTGCGTCAATGCACAGCAAGGACACTAACCCAGGGATCATTCATGCTCTGTCAAACAAGATAGTTGGCAATACTGTAGCTCCAACCATTTCTTGCCTCCAACAGAAAGATGATGGTAGGAAATCACTCTCCTCTTGCAGAGCTGCCACAAAGCCATGGTGAGGAGTGACAGAGGTGATAGCCTACCAGTGTTAACAGACAGACAGGAGAAAAGATGGAAAATGAGACTTGAAGAAAAAGAGGAGGATGCATGCAGTGGTGAATGGACAGATTATATTGAGCAAATTTTTATCAGGACAATAGAAAACAGATACCAAACAATACATTCCCCTTGGAAATTAAACTTTCCAAGTTAATTGTTTTAAAGGTCATGGGACCATGAAGCCTAAGACTTTCCAGGAATACTTTCACTAGCAACCTTCATGGTGCCAGTGGGGTGACAAAAAGAATAGTAAGAAAACATAAATTTAAATATTGACATCTTTCACTCACTGTACTGACAAGGAGATTACATTAGGCAAGAGGGAAGATGCTGAAACTACTCTAGAGTAGAATAATATTCTGTTCTCATTTACACAGATACAAACCAGGAGAGAAATCAGATGAGGAGATAAGCTAGTAAGGGCTTATTTGTGTGTAATATATGCGATGTCCTTCCCCTCCAGTTTGCTATTTTTAATTTGAACTGAGCATAGTCTCTTGCCTAGTACCTCAGTGAACTGTATCTCCTTGTGCCTCCAGAGGCAAATACACCTAAATACATTTTAGAAGATTGCTTCTTTCCACCAACTCCAGAGAACAGTACAAAGATCCATCATCACTGAACATGCAAACCCCACTGTTAGGAAAACTGTGCAGAGCAACATCAAACTTGTGGCTGGTTTTGGTCTCTGTTTCAATGAGTTCAACAGCAGCAGAGTCTGTAACTCAAGCAAATAATTTTCACACAGCTGGAATTGGCCATTATGTTCGAATGTGCTTATTTGGACACCGTACATGTGTTTGTTTCCTGGAATAACCACTGTTGGAGCAACCAGATTAGAAAATACAAACATATTGGCTAAATTGAATTAAAGGCAGTCAGTCACCCCAAATAAAACACCCAGGTGAAGATATTTCCAGATAGAGCAGCAACAACTGAGTATCACACAAATGGAGTAGCCTCATCTTTAAAACATAGAACTGAGAGCTATTAGATCTTAGTTTCCCCTCCTACTTCTGCTGGTTGTCTTTTCCTCTTGATCTCTACTGAATTATTTATTGTCAAGATTTACATTTCCCCAGATTCAAAAAGAGGCAGTTAGACTCCCTGGTTTTCAAGAGCAGTGTTGCAATAATTAACTCATTATTCTTTGCAGAGAACTCTAAAATTATTAGATGCTGCTGCAGAAATGCATATTATTAGTTCTATTATATTCCACTAGCAATTCCCAAAATAACTCTATCTTGGATGGATTTATAGTATTCTCTATTAAAGTCAGTGGTACCTTGAGTCTTGAACCAGGAACTTTTTGTGGCGGTGTAAAATGAAGGAAGGAAAATAATCTAGTTGTGATCATAACAGTTTCTCTTTGCACTATTCTACCTCATAATTTCTTTCAGTATTATATTATACACACATTAACCATAATGACAGTGAGCATGTGGAAGGAAAGACAGTTCCAGTAAGCTCAACACAAATGGCAAAGGACCATTGTAAATTCTGCAAATGAAACCAATGGGCTAGCTTAAGTCCTGCTATAAATGGTGATGTGACCAATATCACGTACTTATTCAGAAAAACAGTAATGAATTTTTTAACTGGCTTTTTCTAAGCTCAGGAAGTTTTGGACTCAATGGTTGGAAAAATGGCCTTTTAAATTACATTGCTTGCATAAGGCTGAAAGGTCACTCTGACACTCAATCAACTGGATCCATTTGCTCAAGTGAAGGTAAACATAACCATACCTGTCACTGGAACTGCTTTTACTGCAAGTGCAGATTGGACAGTTGTATACAGAAATGACCAATCAGATGTTTACTAGCACAGGCTGTACCTCTGCTCAAATGCTTTTTCTAGATAGCTGTAACAACAAATTAGGGGTACAATTCATAGAATAGAATGGTTTGGGTTGGAAGGGACCTTCTAGTTCCAACCCCCCTGCCAGGGCCAGGGACACCTCCCACTAGACCAGGTTGCTCAAAGCCCCGAACAACCTGGCTTGGAACACTGCCAGAGAGGGGGCAGCCACAGCTTCTCTGGGCAGCCTGTTCCAGTGTCTCACCACCCTCACAGTGAAGAATTTCCTCCTTATATCTAATCTAAATCTACCCTCATTCAGTTTAAAGCCATTACCCCTTGTCCTATCACTACTTGCCCATGTAAAAAGTCCCTTTCTGGCTTTCCTGTAGCCCCCTTGAAGTACTGGAAGGCTGCTATAAGGTCTCCCCGGAGCCTTCTCTTCTCCAGGCTGAACAACCCCAACTCTCTCAGCCTGTCCTCACAGGGGAGGTGCTCCAGCCCCCTGATCATCTCTGTGGCCCTCTTCCCAATCCATTCAAGCAGGTCCATGTCCTTATGTTGGGGGCCCCAGAGCTCAACATAGTACTCCAGGTGAGACCTCACGAGAGTGGAGTAGAGGAGAAGAAACATTTCCCTTGACCTGCTAGCAACACTTCGCTTGATGCAGCTCAGGATACAGTTGGTTTTCTGGGCTGTGAGTGCACATTGCTGGCTCATAGTCAGTTTTCCATCCATTAGTACTCACAAGTCCTTCTATGCAGGGCTGCTCTCAATCCACTCATCATCGCCCAGCCTGTATTTGTGCTTGGATCTGCCCTGACTCACATGCAGGACCTTGCACTTGGCCTTGTTGAACTTCGTGAGGTTTGCATGGTCCCACCTCTTGACTGTCCAGGTCCCTCTGGATGGCACATCCCTTCCCTCCAGCGTGTCGACCGCACCACACAGCTCGGTGTCATTAGCAGACCTGCTGAGGGTGCACTCAGTCCCACTGTCCATGTCACCAACAAAGACGTTACAACAGTGGTGGTCCCAGTCCTGACCCCTGAGGAATGTCACTCATCCCTGCTCTCCACTTGGACATCAAGCCATTGACTACAACTCTTTGAGTGCGACCATCCAGCCAACTCCTTATCCACCAAGTGGTTCATCCACCAAATCCATGTGTCTCCAATTTAGAGACAAGGATGTCGTGCAGGACAGTGTCAAAAGCTCTGCACAAATCCAGGTAGATGACCTCACTTGCTCACTTATTACAGATTCCTGTCTCAAACAACTAACTTTGACTAAGACTGCATGTGAATCAGGGTGAAAAGTGATGATTGGTAACTCGGTACATTATCACATTTGCCTAATGAGAATGACATGACACAATGAATTAAATTTTCATTATCTGTGGGAGCACCAGTTTTGAGTGAAACTGTTCTTACAAGGTGACCATTTGACTTAACAACTTCTAAAAAGGTGTGTTCTGTATCATATCAATGCAACACAATTAGCATGTCTAAAAGCCCCATTACCTGTTGGTCATCTGGAGTCCATATGCCACAGGTGATCTGACTCTCCAAGTTGATTTCCGAAGACCAATGTCTCTGTCCACTGACTGAACCGACCAGCACAAATCCATCTCTGTAGGAGATTAGTGCTTGAGTCCCATCATGGCTCCATGTAAAGTCGCTTACCTTAACATAGCAAAGATAAGAAAATAGATATATGGGCCATGTAGGAATTTTTTGTCGTTTTAATAAAAGGCAGCACTGCACAGAACTAGACAGGGCAAATATTAGCCCATTTGTCCCGGCTATTGGATAAAGCAACTGTCCTTGCAAAGTGTCTGTGACAATTCTTGCATATTCCTTTCAATAAAGAAATGTTTCATTTTCTCCTGTGCTTTCTGAAAGGTATAAAGTACCATTCATTGTCCTCTTCATTTTGTCTCTCAGCACTTGATCACTCTTGACTGCAGAGAAAACATGCATACCAACCTGTGCCCCACGATCATTCACAAGCTCCACAGACCATCTGCCTTCGTATTGTATCCAAACAAATATTCCTCCATCTGCATCGCAGGTTGCTAATTTCTGGAATGGTTCGTTCCATCTCACCAGCACAACCTTAAAAGATTACAAACAGAAACAGCATTACCAAAATTGTCTGTTGTGCTAACAACTATTTAACAAGAAGCAGATAAACGATACTGGAAAATAAACATCACTGCACTTAAATCCTAAAGAAGATGTACAAAATAGCAATTTTCAGCACAGCATTAGGCGATTCTCAAGAACAGCTGGAATCATTTTGTCATGGCTGTCAGGAAATGCACAATCTCTCACCATCACGCCTTTTTGGGAGGCATCGCATGCTTTCAATAAAATCATACTGTTCACTGGAATGCAGGACTTCATTACAGAAGCAGCAAAAAGAAGGACCTGTAACAACCATCCAACGCTCCTTCAAATCATTTCCCCCATCGTAATCTCAAAGACTGTCAGACTCCACATCAAATCACCACCTCTTGCTGACTTCAAGTGAAGTTGTATGCACCAGTATCAGATTGAATGTGAATACTCATATCAACAGTGACATGAAAAAAAATTTGAGAGTCCCAAATCATTAAAAAATAGAAATTTCATAGAAAAGTTGCTTTTCGACTGAATGCAGAAGGAATACAAAGCAGTTTTAGGTTCTTCTCTCTGCACTAGAGCTATCTAGGCTTTTCTGGAGAATCTAATCAAGTCTAAACCTACCAAATTGCGCTCTCATTTCTAATTAATATCAATTTAATAAATGCAGTATCTCTTGAGACCCAAGTATAAAACTGAAAAAAAGCATGTCACCCTAGTGCTTGAAGCAGAAATTAGCAGTAAAACCATTTACCTTCTGTGACTTTTTCTTAAAAACTTTTTTCCCAAATTAGTTTTGTTTCAAAAACATGCAGATATATAAGGGATGCTTACAGTCATACACAGGGGGATTCCCCCCAGTTATTTTACTGAGACACAGCACATGCAAACAAAGAAAACATATATGAAATTGTCAATCTGTAGAGTGCTATTTTAACCACTTAATGGGCATTCAGCTTTAATGATGGTTTTTCATAAATCTAAATAGATAATCATCTAAAGTACAGAAAGAGAAGATTTTTTTTTTAAATATGTTTTGCTGTTTACAGAGATGGATACTAAAGATTCCAGTCCTAAAATGATCTCTGAGTAGACAGACCTTTCACACTTCACGACAACATCAGCAGTCATTTTCAGAATTAGGATATAAATATGCATACCTCAAACCTAAACCTGACAGCTGAAGAAGGATGACCTTACAGTTATTTAGAGCATGCTACACTTACTCACAGAGTGTCAAGGGTCAGAACTTCAGAACTGTACATCAGTGGAGCTCATTAGCCTGAAGCATCAACCCTTAAACAATTAAACCACCAGAAAACTGTTTCTTTGTGCATATGCTATGTAAAGATTCCACAGAGAAGTGAGTATGACAAACCACCTCTCTCTTGTTAAGGACCTAAGAAGAATCCCTTGAGATTCTGCAGGAAAACACTTGCTTCTACTTGATTATAACCTGGGAGCTGCACTGCAAATTGCTAGTCCTGTCTCCAAACGGGTAGATTATAACATGTCACTAGATGGATTATATCACACATTGCTTTTTTAAAAATTATTTTTTATTGTAAGAGCAGTAAATAAAACATTCCATCATAGTAATATAAGCAGCTGTACTCTGGTAGAGGTTTCACTCAGTCCCTTCCATCTAAACAAGAATGGCACAGATTTGTCAAAATTTTGTTTTCTTTTTGGTGTAACTCCCATGTACAGAGCCATTGCTTCATCCACCCTGAGGCAAAATGCACTTGCCAGTAATGCTTAACAGTATTAAGAAAGAAGTGAAGAAAACCCCAAGGATAACATTGAAAAATCTTCATCTTTAAAAGATGGAAGCCACTAAGGCTAACAGTGACTATTAATAGAGTGGAAGGTACTTATCACCACTAAAACCCAAACCTCTGATGCTTAGATACTGCTCACACTGAACATTTCATACGTCATTACAGAATAAATTGCTAGAGAAAATTTAGGAACAAAAGACAAAACTAATTGTTCAAATACTATGTTTTTTAGCTAGCACCATCAAAGGTACTACAGCTTGTCTTAAAATCTCTCTGTTTTGTCTGGCAAAGATTTGAGACAAGCATATGATTTTATAGGTTAGACATACCAGTTGACTTAGTAATACGAATTATGGGCAAAGTGACAATAGCTACCTTGATGTGGGTTGTCTCTTCTGTTTTAAATAGGAATCTTGTTAAAACTTGACAATAACTTTTGATTCAAATTCTGTACAACCTGTCTTTTCTTTGGATTTGATAAACATCCAAGGGTACAGTTGAGAGTAAACAAGATGAACTAGAGCCTCCCTCTCTCTATCCCAATTACATACGAATTAGTAACTTCCAAAATAAACTTGCTGCTTTATAATCATAAATGAAAGTGATACAATGATTTTATATGCCTTCTGGTAACATCATCATAAGGAAGCGAATTTGTAATTGGAAAATTCAACTTCTTTAAACACAGAGGAAATGTTATCATTTTATGAGGTCATTTTAAAGATGCTTCCATCATTTACATTTAACATCTGACTACAGGTGCCGAGTCCACAGATGCTTTGAGTATTTCCAATTTCATTTTAGACACAACATACTGAAGTAGAGATAAAGAAAGGAAGAAGGATTAAGCTGACTTTTGGCTTTTATGTTGGCTAAAATGTAAAGCATATGAAAAAATGCCCCATTGATAGTGCACTTAAATAACGCATAAGCTTGAATTACCCCTCTGCAAAGAGGAATTTTATTGCTAACCCATAAACGCAAAGATATCATTACTTTCACTAATAGCTTCAACTCACAGTGGACCTATTTTTACTTCTGCCTTTATGGTTCTCTGCTTCCTACTTAGCATCTTCACACAGGTACTGAAGGACTAAACTGTTTTATCTTGTATTGAAAGAGTGAAAATGTTGGTGTGCCAAAGGAAGTTGCCTGTGGACCTTCTGTGGTCCACACAGTTTTTGTGTATTGCCTAATTATATTTGTTTGTTGTGTTTTGGTTTTTTTTTTTTTAAATACTATAAAAATTGCAAATTGTGTTTGTTCTACTCTAGAAAAAAACTGTATCACAGACATTAATCAGCTCCTAAACTGTTGTTTCATACAGCAAATGATCTCCTGTGAACAAAACTTAAAGGAACTCCTGGCCTAATATATTAATTACAATATAAAGGCCAATATATCACCCTGAAACAAGATGCTTTACATGAAGTTTGATGAGCTTTTAAATCAGGGTCTTACATTTTCTTTGCACTCCTTTTTATACAATGCATAGTGGTGAAAAAGTTGTTTCAAAAGTACAACATTCACCATCTTCAATAGCTCTGTTTTAATTGTCAACTTGATTTTCAGGTATTAAATTTAATTAATCCTAAAGGTGCTAGAAACTCTCCCCAAGACTGACTGCATACTATAACGCTGAAAACACAGCAGAATCAGCAAAAAATGAAACCTTTAAAAATTATTTTCATCACACAAATTAAGGATATGTAAGGATTTGTTATCCTCAATGTTAAAAAGCTTGATTATGTATGAAATTAAAAGGGAAAACATTGTTAACTTACACTTGGGAACCCATGCATTCACTTCCAGTACTATAGAGTAATCAAGAATGAATTAATAGATAACTTTACCAATTAAAAATGTTGTGCAAACTTAAGTTATAGTTTATGAACCTCAGGTTACTTCCCTGTACTTTTCATCTTCACAGATGCTACATTTGGAAAAGGCCTTGTCTTGTGGCAAAGGAAACATATGTATTATTTTGATTGAAAAAACAACATACATTTATTTATTTTAAGGTCACTTAATTATGCTTTATACTTTCTGTTTTCATTCAATCTAATGCTTTTTGGTCTACTACTGCAAATAACAAAACAAAGCACAATCAGTCTCTGGCCTCAAATACCATCAGGTTTCTTAGAAAGACACTGTTGCAGAAAGACCATCATGCAGCCAGCAATGTTGCTATTTATTAAAATCTTAGACAGGAAATTTTGAGTAACTGCAGGTTTTGGAGTAGCCAATACATGATTTATAGTAAATATGTTCTCCTCCCAACAGGAACCAGGTTTGGTGATTTTAAATTCATTAGGTGCTATTGACACTTGTATTGTGTTAGAAAACGTGAAAAAAAACATTAAAATCCAAAGCATTCTGAAAGTTTTTGCTATTCCTAATTTCACTACAGTTTTTGATGGAGATGACTGAAAATATGATACCGATTAATTTTCCAAGAGCAGAAGTCCTTAATCCTAGAATACCATACAACAGTCAGTGCTGAAATTTTACTTCTGCGGTTCCTAAAACATATGGTACATAATTGCTATAAAGGCAAGGAACAAACATCTAGAAAAAATAAATGGGTAAATAACAAGAGTGATTAATTCCTAGAGTTCCTTACCAAATTTAGATAGATTTTATTACTGATACACTGTAGTGAGTCAGTGAGCCATTTTTTAAAATCTCTGATTCTCCATCCATTTTACTGGGGAGTGGGCATATGCTCTAAAGATAAAGGTCTTCTCCAGCATCCATTTTCACATACGCTATGGAGATGTGTTTGCAGATGGACTATCAGAGTAGCAGAGAGTAGAGAACACTCAATGGCAAATACTGGATTACAGCACAATTTGCTACACCTGGAGAGCCATGTGCCTTTATTTGGCATGAGCATTTCTGAAACTACAGGTGAACTAATTATCTGCAGGGTGCACAGATGTGGTGCACTGTAACTCCACTGAGCATATACAATACTAAACATTCTAAGGACTTGCTGGCCTTTCCCCCTCTAATAAATCATACTATGTTTCTAATGCTATTGAAAGTGCTGATATGAATCCACCTTCCAAGCAGCGACAGCAAAAGACCTAAGTGTTCCTAGGACAGAAACAGAAAAACTAGTGCAATCCCCTAATAAGTAGATTGACCTTCACTCATGGTTAAAAGTATAGAGAAATACATGCATATAGTGCACATATAGTGCATATA